GCTGAACAATAAAGGGTTCTTTTTCCTTGTGGTTCTTTTTAATACAAAATACAAGCGAAGGATACACATACTTAAAACAGAGCTCAGGAGCAGGTACGCAGTCCTGGGAACCCTTTCAATAAAAGCAAAGCAGGGTTTTGTTATTTTTTTTCTTCTTTCTTTGCAGGTACATACAGAGACTGGAATATGTAAAATTAAGTAGCACAAAAGACCATCACACAATTCTACCAATGAATGTTGCATCTATAAATTCACGAACATGGTCAACAGTCATGTTCACTTCAACCCCTTTAATAATAAAAAAAAGTGTTGGTTTTTTATTTTAAATAAAGCATTAATGTTACATTCAGACTTAACTCCTAGTACCATGTGGTAGGTCTCAGTATTGTCAAGGTATTGCAAGAGTCACCAACCCCGACCACGGGCCAGCAGTGCTGAAATGCTGTTTGCAGCTGCCCCCGTTTGTCTGTCCTTAAGCTTAAAAAAAGAATAAAAATAAAAATAATAAAAGGGATGGGGAAGGGAACTGCAAAGAGCCCGATTTTTAGAAAAGCTCAACAGGGGATTGCAAATACTCAAGACAAATAGTCATTGCACACCATGTCATGATGTCATGTCATGATGCCTCGGGCTCAAGGCCCTACCTGGAGTCTCCTCCTCTACCTTCAGAGTGATTATTCAGGGTTTGCTGTGACATGATGTTCATGGTTAAACAAAAATTATGTAGCTCTTATTTACAATTTTTTTTTTTTTGTAACAATTGCTTCTGCGGGGAGGGAGGGGAAAGAAAAGTAAACCTCACAAATCTTCAGAACACAAAGGGAATAAAGATGTCAGACGCTCCCATGCGCGCACTCACACCCGCGCACTCACACACAAAATACTTCAGGGGCTTTTACACACATTATTCTGGCTTAAGCTGATTGAGTATTTCTCCATCCCACCCACTACCCCTCCCAAAATATATATATAAAAAACCCTCGCCCCAATATACAAAGCATATGCACAATGGTGGTTTGCAGTCACACCGAGCATGCTCCGGCCGATGGACCCACGCGATTCCCCGCGGCTGAAGGGGGCAGGCAGGCCCGAGAGACCCTTCCCATAGTGGTTGATACACCAGAGTCAGCACATGGCGAGAACTCGACTAGACTTCGGAATATTTGTCATTTTGTTTTGTTTTCTGTTTGTTTTTTCTTTAAATATAAACAGTTCAACGGAAAGACATTCAAATGCCAGTCGCCTACCGAAGCGGGAAGTCTAAAACGAGGATACACTTGACTTGGGGAGGTCTCGAAAGGACACTGTCAGCTTTCAGAGCTCTGATACTCCTCGAAGTATTTGAGGAAAAAAAAAAAGAAGTCATCTTGGACAGTGAGAACAGAATAGCTAGTTTTGCTTGCTAGTTTCTTTAGCAGAACTTGTATTTAAACCTCCCAAAACCGTAGGAAAATATTCAAAGGTCAGGGCAAATTTTCTATTTGATCATATACATATAGAATATATAATTTCCACATATAGATATGACTCCCCCAAACTAACATTTCCTATGTGCCAGCAACTACTTTGTGACAGTGTCCCTTGAAATATCCATCTGCTTACATTTTCAGATCCTGCCTCCCCCAACAGATGAACATCCATTTCTCAAATATTAAACTCATGGATCAGTTTGTAGTTTTTTAAGAACCATGTGTTCAACAATATGATCTGTTATAAAAATAAACACTTCACAAACAAATTACATAAAGCAAAGCACCAGTTTCTACAGCTCAAAAGCTTCCAGCATGTTACAGTTTACTTCCCTCCCTCCTTAACCTGGGTGCCTCAGCGTCTATTGTACCTTTGTGACCATCACCAGCGGAGGGGAAAGAAAAAAAAGAAAAAAGAAAAAGAAAGGAATTTGACCGCATCTCCGGCCGCTGCCCTGGTGTCCCAGCCCCTGTGGCCATGGCCACATGGTGACACGGGAGCTGAGCACCCTCAGAACCGATCCCTGGCACTGGTGAGGCGCCCTGGCAGAAATCCCCCAAGGTGTGCTGCTTCTCTCCCTCTCCCCACACACTCTTCTGCTTTGATGAAGTTGAAAGAACCAAATTAAAAGCTTCTCGGCTGCCCCGTTTCTAAGTCCTGCTCTCGCCCACTCTGAAATCCATCTAGCTTGGCGTGTTTGGCATTCTCGTGCTGATCGAACAGGAACTGAAGCAAATAATCTTTTGTATGAAATCCCAACTGAAATCGCAAATTCCTACTGACCAAGCCTCACGACCAGTTGGAGGCAGTACTCCTGGCATGGAATTGCAGAACGGAACGTGGCGGTGTGCACTCAGAAACAGAATGTACAAAAGGTTGTAGAACGGAAGTTATGAACTGTCATTTTAACTGCCAAGACCAAGGCCGGGCACTAAATTAACTGAACTTCGGAATAAATCCATTTACCTCTCTGCAAAGGCTCCAAAACTAGAGCTGTGTAACAGAAGACAATCTTTTCAAAGTCTTCTTCTGTGAAGGAAACTTTCTGCTCCGTGAAGAACTATTTATGCTCCTCAAGACAGGCATTTGTACAGCCTTCCTTCAAGAAATCAGAATGCTTAATACAAATTAAAAGGGACATTTTCAAAATGTTAAATCTGCTTCTACTGAAAATCATGTAATAAAAATGTATTAACCTTATGACTGTAAAAATGTGAGCTGCTAAATTTCTAGCAGAGTAACCAAGAGACCTTTAGGGCTTAGTGTTTGCACAAATCAGCAAAAAAGATATAGAAAACGTTACAAAAATCCCAGTAGTAGTACAGGATTTACATAGTGTCTGAGTTGTGCCAAACTCAAAAGATAAGCATCACGCAGCCATGAGAGATGAACACGTGAGAAAGCAGAACGGTTTTGTAAGATGAAGGGCCATAACTGCCAGGTGTAAAATAATCCAGTCCAAAACCTGAACCGAGGACAAAGGAAATATTCTTCACAGCCCTAATGTCAGTTAACTGTGTTAGAAAAAAAACCCAAAATATATTTTAACTCGAACTTACAAAATACACTCTTCAGAAAAAATCTGGTCTGCAAGGTAAAGAAACAGCTGTTTGACCAGATCAGCTAGAGGTATTCTAGGTTTAAGTAATCCTTGTACGTTTTAATACCAAAAAACCCCAAAGAACCCAAGAGGCAAGAATAGCTTGAAACACAGTCTGGACTGCAAGTGACCAAACATTTGCAGAAGTGCATGCTATCCCCAGATTTAATCCAAACGTCTTTTAGAACTTGGCCATTTATTTTCCCATATTATCCACGAAGCACTGGACTAGGAGTGGAGGGAATGCAAGAGACTCTGCCCTCCCAGAAATCTGGAAGGTGGGCAGAGGTGTGGGAGAGAAGAGGGGATGACATTCGCTTCTTTTTCAAGACTGATACTTCACTCCAGCCTTAAGCTGTTCTGCAAAATTAAACCACTTAAAAAAGATTTACAATGGAAACACCGATCATCTTTATTGTAACGGCAACAGTAGTTTCATTAGAGTAAAGAATGTTAGAGAACTTAAGTTTTTATAAGCCCAGGTAAAGTAATTTACCAGCCTCAATGAAATCCATGGCTATGAACCACACAAGACAACCTCTCGGCTGTTATATTAATATTCTGTTCAACATTTTAGGCTCCACATTGTGGTCAGCGTCTTCAGGCTCCCTATGCCATTCAGTCAAGTGTACTTACTGGTCATATTAGTGTATCACATCTAGAAGCTCTCTAAAATCCCAAGAGGATTAAAAGTCTGGTAGCATGTGCACCAGAAATCCAACTAATTAGCTGCCTTATGTTACCTTCAAGAGGCTGGTTACAAAATGTGTAGTTCAGTGACAAAAAAAAAAAGAAGAAAAGATGCAAAGCTTGTCAGCTATAAGGTAATGGTGAGCGACATACAGAAAGCACAAAGGGTTTAAGAAAAAAAAAAAAAGAAAGAAAAATGGCAGGTCCAGTTTTCACTATTTCCACCAACAAACATGGCAGCAACCTCTGCTTTGAAAACCAAGGCTTGTGTACTTACTTAAAGTTTAAAAAAGGATACGGCTGCTTTGACCAAAACACATCAAAGTGCCACCGCACACATCTCAAGTGTCTTGCATTTAGAGGGACATCCTGCTTTTATTACAAAACGACAGCCCTGCTACACTGCTTCAACACCCCACCTCCGCTCAGCCTCCTCCTTGGGTTCTGTGCCCCACTCAGCCCTTCCGGGGCTTCGGGAGCACAGCGATGACCAACAGTGAGAAGCAGACGTGGGGCTGGGAGAGCAAAGCCTCCCCCGCCGTCGGATGGAAGGATGGTAAATGGAAGTGGTATCGTGGTATCGCAAGTCTGCTGCCCAACAGCGCAGCGGGAGAGGCTGCGAGCTGGGACTGAAGAGCCTTTCTGAGGACAGATGGAGGGAGAGAAGAGAAACACTTCAGCGTGACTCATGGGATCCGAGACTGACCAGAGCGTTACAGGAATCCTTTGCTTCACATTTATAAAAGGACATCCCTCGCCCCAAAAGCTAAAGAATTTAGTTTTACACTACCTGTTAGTTTGGGTTTTTTTTTTCTTGGAAAAACTTTAAAGACGTTTTCCGCAACGCCTAATGGAAACCAGAGTTTTAAAAACTCATTTCAATCTCTCTTCCCTATTCTGCCCACCCAGAGCTGACCTTGGAAGAAGCAGTTAATGGACGTGAGAGGCTTGTTGGTTGTACATCTGAATTTGTGTAGAATGAACCGCAATTTGCCTAAAGCAGAACAGTGCTCTATCCAGCAAAGACAACAGATCTCGCATCCTAATTGAAGAGTCTTTTCTAAATAAAAGACAGCGGACCATCTACAAGTCTCTTGATTGCTTTCCACAAAAAACGAGCCTGAATCCAAGAAACACAGGTTTCCTCCTCATGTTTCCTCTTCCTCAACTGGGATTCATAGCAATTACATTTTTTCTGAGTGAACTTGTATCAACAAAAGTCTGTTAAAGCGTAGGTTTGTTTTTTCCACATATTCAAATATAGAATAATAGGTTTAAAGAACTCTTACCAGCACTGGGAAATCTACTCTACTTAACGACTTGTAAGTATGGTTTCCACATATCAGTCTCAAACCTTATTGCTTCACAACTGCAGTATCCCTTGAAAAAAAAATATATTTAAATGGTCTGTTAATTTGTCTCAAATGGCTTTCAGATTTGGTGGGGGGAGGGAGAACGGAATGGCCAACAGAGAACATCGACTTCAAAATATTACTGTATAAGGGTTTCCTCTTATTAAAAAAAGGATACACTGTATTAAACAGCTGAAAGTAAAGACAGCGTTCAAAGCCCATGAGTCAAGCCACAGCCAAAACCGTGTTCTACCCCTAAGTATGTTTTCTTTTCCTTTTTCTTTTTTTTTCTTTTTTTTTTTTAAACAAAGATTTCCTCAACTGCCATTTAATCTTCACCAGAGGGTGCTTCATCTTCAGATCCCTCATCCCCTGACTTCTCTGGTGGAGGGCTGGCTGACTTTTTCTTTTCTGGGGGACTTTCGGGTTCTTCATCCTCTTCTTTGGGGGATGGGGTCTTTTCTTTTGTTGCCTTGGCAGCTGTGGGGCGGCCTGCCTTCCCTTTGCCTTTCACTGGACTGGGGGTCACTGAAAGAAGAAAAAGCTTATAAAAGTTATGATCGGCAACAGCGACCAAAAAAAGTCACCTGGCTTTATACAAGCAGGATTTCCAAGACACCCAGGTAGCAGGTTTCACCCTGCTTTGACCCCAGCCCGCACACGGTGGGTTTTGCCCTCCACATTAGTAAAGCTGAACTGCAAAGTTAACTAACAAGATTTAAAAACTTCTTTGCACAGACTCACCTGTAGCCTTTAGCCTGGGCTTCGGCATTTTCTTTTCTTTCCTCTCTGGCTTGGATTTCTTGGAGACCTTTTTGTTTTTCTTTTTTGAACTGCCATAGTCACTATCATCATCATCTTCCATGAGGAAGTCTTCATCGCTTCCTGAATCTGCTGAAAGCACAAAGAAATTTCAGCTTTTTGGGGGGGAAAAAAAAAAAAAAAAGAAACAGCAAAGATGTACATATGGCCAGGCCCATAAACCCATGTCTGGTACTATAGCCATGTCACATTGTTTTTAACTTTTTACAATCCCATTTACTCACTCTCCTGGAACTGTGCCTCATCATCCTCTTGTTCTTCCTCCTCGCTACCCACATCATCCATAAGCATCTCCCGTTGTTTAGAAGCTGCTTTGGATGCTGCCTGTCGTTGCTGACGCACATTTTTGTGGTCTTCTTTCTCGTCCTCGCTGTCCTCTGCAGGAAAAGTCACAAAGTTACAATGACGATATGGTATACAGACCACCGAATTGTCTTGAGGCAGCCCGCAGGCAAGAAAAAGATCAAACCATTCATGAGAAAGTTAATTAAGACACTTACTGAGCAACTGAGCTGTAGGAGAACACAGTCATGTTCAACTTAGTAAGCACAGTTGTAGTATGTTTCATTGCAAAGACCAAAAACCTTTTTTGTTTTTTATTTTTTTTTTACCTGCAGGCCTTTTCCTGGATTTGGAGGCTGCTCTCTTATTCTTTTCTGGTTTAGCCTTTTTTCCTTTTTTGCTTTTTTGAGAGCTCTCATAGTCACTGTCCGCTTTGCCATCATCTGCTCCCAAGTCATCATCTTCACTGCCAAAATCTTCATCTGGAAGGAAAAGGTATGAATATGAAATTTCTTGTATAACTCGGAAACATGGCTGAGAACCCCAGGGAACAGATTAAGGCACATCTATCCACCTGAAAAGACAAACTTTATAGCTGCATCATACTATCCAAAAAAATACATTCTCCCAAACCAGGGCCAGAAGTAACAGATATAGAAGTAGCACCCAGCTTAAAATAAGTATATTTGGAAAGTGGATGCTTCTCTAGTCAGAACAATTTCCTTTCCAATGTAAGATCCTGCTCCTGTAACTCTCACAAACTGGTCT